TTTTGTGTCTTGGTTAGTTTCTTTGCGCTGGTTCGTGGGAAAATTTGTTTTGTCGTCTTTTTTTTTTTGTTAAACCTTGGTGTGGGGGGGGGGGAGGCCTCTGTAGCTGGCGGGTAGAGTATGTGGGGGTGCTTTGAAGCGCAACAGCCGTTGCGCGGAGCAAGAGGCGAAGCCTCCAGCTTCTCGCTAGCTAAGCAGGCCATTGTTTATTTGTGAAGAGTGTTTACACATGACCGCCGTACTACCGAAACATGAAGACCGCGAATTCAACCAAACGCGTGACAGTTGATTTGGCGCAAGAGGCTAACGACTTTGGTCACGTGGCTTTGTTTGTCAAACCAAAAAAGTGAACTTACACATTCTTTTCTCAGTGCTGGCTTCGTTGTTTGCGCATCAGAGTGGTCAGAGTTTACATATAGCGCTAGAAGGCTGCAACCGTAAGAACTTTCATAGATTGACTTTCTGCGAACGAAAATTTCGTCTTTTTGGTTGACAGAGAACACCATTTTTCGACTAGGCCTATGTTTGGCCTACTAAACGCTCGGGAATAGGACCACGCGGGTTCACCTTTTTGATTTGACAAACAAAGCCACGTGACCTAAGTCGTTAACGTCTGGCGCCAAAGTCAACTGTCACGCTTATCTCGGATTTGGCGTCTACCTGTTTCGGTAGTATTGGTGTCTCAAAACAATGCAACGGCGCCCGTGATGGTGTTCTAAACCAGTCCTGTGGAAGCGGACGTTTTCTTTTTGGAGTACACACTTTCTCGTTGCAAGAAATTTGTATAGCTGTTGGCTATGTGAGTGAAAACGCTCTAAAAATGTATTATTTGATTTCGTTTTTGCAGGGAGGAGCCGGGTCGCCATCTGCATCGCCAGCTAAGGGAGGAATAAGATCAGCTAGAAAAAGATAGTAGACTACAGAGTGTATGATAAATTGTATTATAGCCTTCGAGCAAGCTCTCCAATTGTGGCAAGCGAAGCAAGCCGCGAAAGAAAGATAGAGAGCTTGCTCGCAGCCAACTGCATCATTATAATCATTACTTAGGAACGTAATTTGTACATAGTTAATTTTGCTATTTTTAAAAGCGGTGAAAAGTTCCTTCTTTGGTGTAGTAGAGGCCGAGTGAAGTTTTTTAAACCATAGTTAGCCTGCGAGCAAGCCCCTTTTCATCCCCACCCCTGACCCTTGGGGGAGCTTGCTCGCAGGATTGACCATAGTTGAACTGACTGAACTTAGAGTCATGCATAGTTGAGCTTCCTCGAACTTTCGACTCGATGAAAAGTGTTGTTCGTTTTGTGTACGTACAGCATCCATAACCTACAATCGGGGACAAAACGTCTTGGAACAGAGATTTAGTGCTCGTAATCGTCTGTTATTTCAGCGTGCGTTGAGAAAGCAGTGCCAGTTCTGTTGCAATTCCCCTTTTCCAACCGAATGCATTGCTCAAACTCAGAAAAAGTGTGATTGCAAGTGTGTAACGCAGTGTGCTAAGGTTGGGCATGTGTACCGGTAGTTTCATTTGCGCGCAAGTGTTTCACGTGCGTAAAAAGGCGCAATAAATGCAGATAGTCTGTCCGTCCGAGTCGTTTGTCCATGAGTGTACCTATGTTGTTTTCTTGCTCAAAAGCAGACTTTAAGATCCTATTCGTTTCATAAATGTAACCTAAAGCTTTTTTCCCCGTTTTTGGCATCAAATCTTTTTTTAATATTAACTTTTTGGATTGAAAACGGTAGCGGACTTTTCATAGTAAAATTTCAAGTGTAGATGAATTAACGCACGAAGCGGGCTAAATGAAGAATGAAGAATTATTGAGGCGTCTTTTTATCAACAGCGTATGTAAATAAGTGATTACAAATATTTTCAGTATTTAACGAAATATTTTGTAAACAAGAAAGCAACTGCATGTAATTTGTATTTATCGCTATTATACAGTTTTACTATCTCATAGAACTTAGGTAGTTTTTATAAGTATTGTTGAGAAATTTTGCACAGTTTTACATGATTCCTAGAATTTGTGCGTCTTGATTTCACGTCACTTATTTATATCACTTTTATTCTCCTTTAAACGAATGAACCGAACGAATTTTTATGACAATTGTAAATAGATGCCTTACCCTAGCAATCAGTTAGGAATTTTTCTTTTTTTAAAAAAAAAAAAGTTGCACCAAAATAGGTTTAACGATCAAGTCATTTTTAGCCTTGCTGAGTAAATAAAGGTCAGAGTTTGTTTTCCGATGAGGTTTTCCCATTCCTTGTGTTGCTAAAAAAATCAACGCATTTGTAGTTTTCTGTGTCAGGCGGCTATATAAGAGAAGGGAAGAAAAACTGACTAAATTCTGAGAAGTGCCCTTGGGTGAAATGTAACTGAGTATTCTCTCTCAATACCCAGCTC